TCTGTCTTGTAGTGCTCCAACCGGGGTTCCTTCCCCACTACCCTGAGAGATTTATGGGCCAGGTCTCCTCATCGCTGTGTCCCCACTTCGCTGCGTACAGCCTCTGGTACATCGCAAATACTCAGGGACAGGGGTACGGTGTGGCTCGCAGGGAAGGGCCATGCCGTCTTAGGTTTATCTGGTTAGAGCGAAAGTTTCCTCTCAGGGGGAATTGGCATTAATGGCCGTGGAAGGCTGACTAGCATGTAACATTCTTTTTCTCGATGAACAAAACCTTTCCCTTTCAAAGTGTGACGCGGTTTCTAGGATTAGGTTCTGCAAGGGAGAAGACAACCATCACCAAGGATTTTACCACCTGGCCCAGGTGATCCCTATGCCCACCGTGTGAGACCTAGGGCGTGCCCACGCCAATCGTATGGCATGTTTGGGAATATCAAAACAACGTTAGCCCTTGAAGAATAAGATAAGATATGAAGCAGAGAGTAACAGCAAAGAGGGAGCCGTGAACTTTTGACTCTTGGGATGCTCTGCTGAGGACCAGATAGTATACCAAGTTCAAGGCTACACTTTGATTTTTTTAAAAGGCTGGATGATTCAAGTCTGAACCCTTCTTAACTACCTATCTTTCTGACATAACAATAAGGCTCCGTGCAACTTGGAGTACATATTTCACTTTGAGAAAATGAAAAAGCGAGAAATATGGAAAGCACAAACCCTTATCATTCTTGCGTCTAGGCATATTAGGAACCATTATTTTGTGAATTATCTTAAAACTTGGCCAAAAAAGAGAGAGTGGAGTATTGCTAAGTAGTCTTTTGGTATGCAATCCTTCACTGTGGTATTTCAGTGTGTAAATGGCACCATTATCCTGGGAGACCCTGAGTTAAATAGGGCAAAAAGCTGAAAGTAGTGCAAATGTTCATCTTCCTAAGTAACCTTCATTGGCACATCCAGATTATCGGGATTTTTGAAAGGCAGGCTAATGGTCCATCTCAACATGAGGGCCATATTTAATGACATGTGAAGAGCATGGAGCTGGTATATGTTTTGTACCCGATATATGCACCACAATTT